TTACGCCGAACCGAGGCCTTGATGGGATTTAATAGAACATGAGGTGACTTCCCCAGACGTCTCTTCTCTCCTCTGTAGCGTTTCCACTGAAACAACCTGGGAGTCTAACACATGTCGCGCACACCGTGAACGCTCAACTCGTGACATTTGCTTCCATTGATGCGCTTATCACTTGCAGCACAACGCTGAAATCTCGCGTCACCATAGTAACTCCACAGCCGTGCTCGTGCCCCGTGGTTGTAGCTAAAAGCCGGCGTAGTGGGTTAATTTGCACATTTGACAAAAATGTGCGCGCGTAGCGAATCCTTTAACGTGCATGTGTGTAAACGGGAGACAGAGGAGATGAGAGAAGAGTGGGCAGGATGAAAGGCGAAGCCCCAACCAGTGTTTCCTATTGATGAGAGAGGAGGAGGGAAAAAAAAGCACATTATGGAGATGCTTTGAAGTGGACCAGGTGAGAGCAGCCTCAGCCTGAATCCTGCATCCAGGTAATTGAGCTTCAGCTTGGCTTTGCCAGCGTCTCATCCTAAAGGCTGCTTCCTTAACCGTTCCCCCCCCATCAAGCCTGGCTTTAGGCCTCATTAGGACAAACGTTTTACTCCTTTTTTTTTTTTTTTTTACGCGCTCGTCTTGATGGGCATCAAAGCCACGTTTGATCTTTCATGCTGAAGCGGTTTGCATACCGCGGCGTTAGAGCTGGAAAACCCATGTTTTTGTTTTGAAATCCGGCATCCCAGAGGCCACCCGTGTTTTAGAAGATCTGACGTGGCTGTATTACAGGGATGTGGCTCGGGAGTTAACTCTCAGGATGTTATCTCTGTTTAAAGTATTATATAATATGCCACAATAACAGAGAGTAAAGAAACAGTATTCAGAGAGGAACAGTTAGAGGGCAGTGGCACCAACTGTAAATATCTGCTGCTGACACTTTGTATTGTTTGTTAGAGGTTTATAACTTCTCATTGTGCAGACTGTTGAAACCACACATGCAGCATTACATTCCTGATGCACCAACCTATAAGTAGCATTTTGTTGTTGTGGCAAGTGAAGCTAATTTTACTGTAACTGTATTTGGTGTTGGGTACACAGAAATTACAGAATGGATCCTGACTCAAGTAACATGCAAAAACTGTAAATTTGCAGATATTTTTGTTGCATGTTTTTGTTAGTCTACAGGTTTTCCTGAATTGTTACAATCATCACCTTCAATAAACACATCAACCTCAAACTACTGCAGTCAAACAGTTTTGTTTTACAGATTTGGCCTAAATTACTACGATGAGACGCCTTCCACAAAGTGCTACCACATGCTCGAGATTGCTGAAAAACAGTCTTATTTTGGAAGGCAAGTTCTACTCCTACTGCTAATTCGTTTAGATGAAACTTTGCAATGTCAACCAATTCTTCGCAAGTAATTCTGCAGAGCTCCCCAGGAGGAACTGAAACCCCCAAACTGGCTCTTCTCTGTGTTGCGACCCGGCTTGTGGCTGCAAAATAAAACAGAGTTTACTTTTTATTTTCAATAAATTGATACCTTCAGTAAATATCTAGAGGATTCAGTGCGAAAGCAGAAGGCGTCATGAGAGCGTGGTGAGCTCCGGCAGCAGCAGAGTGCGGTGAAAATAGAAGAATCCCCAGACATGACTTTTATTCACACCAGCTCAGGTGTGGACAGTTAAGAGAATTAAGCTCATGTATCGCTCAAAGCCACCTCTGCAGGGCCAGTGGGGGTATAAAGAGGCGCAATATGCCTGAAAAATTCCACTTCAAGTGAATCCTTGTGTTATTTTTAAAACGTCTTTACATTATTTTGGATGTAATTAAAATGTAAAAGTACACACAGATATAAAACGACTCAGATTTAGCATAAAACTACAAATAATACATTGATAATATAAACATATTTTTTTATTTAAAGAGCTACATGTTTACTTTAATTGTCGTTTTATGTAAATTTATAACTTCAGAAAGCAGAAAAAATGTGCCATAAATAATATAATACATTCTCTGTTAAAAAAAAAGTTAATTTTTCTGAATTTTTTTTTTGCATAATACCTAAAATAACTGTTGGGTTGTTAAGTTACAGATGATATTTATGTGTGTTTTTATATAGTTTTTCTTTATTTAAAAAAAAAAACTAAACAAAAGAGGAAACTGCAGTAAAATGTTTAATTTCCGTAATTATTTTTGTGTATTTTAATTTATATAAATTCATTATTTGTAAGATTTTCAACTAATCTAGTAAATAAAAATCTACATTATAAGTAATAATCACAGCTGTCAACTGTGGTGAGAAGTAGAAACCCAGATCTACTATTCTGAGATGAAAATATATTTTTTTTTGTTGTTGTGCCGCCAGTAATGTGCATAAAAGGAGTCAATATTTAATGGAAGCTTACTGGCTTTTTGATGAGAATATGAGACTGCTGCTGCAATCTTCTAGCTTTGGTTAGATCAAACCTGGAAGTCAAGGCAGAAGGCAGCCTGGCTCCGTCTGAAGGTAAAGACCTGTCAGCACCACCAAGGCTCATTTAATTACTGTTTGTTTAATTGGCTCAAAAAACATTTATGTGCCAGACTAATTCCTAGAATGACTTGCTGGACCTCTGCAAAACTAAACGTGATGACATGATTTCAGGAAATAGCTGTAGAAACAGGAAATGCTTCGACAGAGTCGGGCTAACTGCTTCTGTTTCCATTCTTTAGTCAAGACTGGCATAACCAAGAGCTGGCTTCAGATTAGTGTACGTATGAGTTTTTGTAATTCTCTGCAAAAAAAAAACATTTTCTAAAACATCCAGCTGCTTCTTCAACATGATGCATGCTCACAGTGCACATAATTCAGCAAAAAGTTTACAACAAGATGCTTTTTATTGCGTAAATAAACTCTAAAGCACAGAAAAATGTTGTTTTCTTGACTGTGCTGGAAGCTAGAAATCTGTGTCACTCTATTTACCTTTCATACGTTTGATTTATTTCTGGTGCACATGTTGCGAATTGAAGCGCTCCGTTTTTTTTTTGTGCTTGATTTATTCTCGCTATATACCAGCACATAGGATGAAATGGACGTACACGTATGTACTGAAGCATGGTATCTGAGCAAATGCACTCCGCCACCGCCGATGCTTTTCCACCGCCGATGAAAGGTCAGGGAAAGGTGACGTGTGGGATGTGTTGGGAGGGAATGATGCACGCTGCCGCGGTGGCTGAAGCAGCAGTTGGGCTCTCCTGCCCCCACACACAATTACTCAGCACCTTTTTTTTCCCACACACACACACACATTTATTGACACGCACACATAAAACCCGACACCACTGTGGAGCAGAAAGCGGAGCTCGCAGTTATAATTACCACCCCTGTCTGCTGTTGTGCCAGCGTGGAACGGGGAGGACAAGAAGACGCGTCCCAAGAAAGCCATTATTCTCTACCTCCTTATCCTCTTTCCTCTCTTTCTGCTCCTCATTTTTAAGACATTTAGAGCTAAATCCTGTTAGCTGAGTGTCGCCCATAATTCCAACCTCTTGCACATTACTGATAACGAAACTAGAATGTAAGAGTTTGCCGCCAAATTGCACATTAGATCATTTCCCTCTTATTTTGTGCTCATGCCAGAGGATTGTGTACTTGTGTCCCCCCTCCCCTCCTTCCTCCTCCTCTTTAAATCCCACATTGTTCATTATAGGCTCAGAGGTACAAAAGGTTGCTTTTGTCCAGGAACGATGACACCGGTGAAGTATGGTTTTGTCTGTTTTAAGAGGCACAAGTAGGGCAAAGTGTGAACTCTTGCGGCAGAGGATGTTATTAATTAGGACTATTTTTACTGTAGCGGTGACAATACAGAATCAAGTGTGTACAAAATGAGCTGTCACCGACCTGCTGGGTGAAATCTGGCGTGAAAAGAGCAGTTTGAGGGTGGATAATGTGTCATTGTTATTATGAAGTAGCCACCTAAAAATCACAGCTGTCGGTGAATTGGAATTTGCCCCCGGACACCTCTGGAGGATTTTTTTTATCTGTAACACGTGGCATCTAAAAACAACCTTATCTATTCCTGCTCTCATCCAAACTTCATATCAACACATATTTATAATCTGACCTCGCCTCTGGTTTCAATCAGACCGACCCACTTGCCTGAAACAAGAAGACGACCGATACCTTTTTTTTCTTTTCATTTAATGAGTATTTTTACCTCCTTGTCCTTACCTTGCATTTTATTACTTAAGACAACTACTCAGCAGCAGACAACAGCTAGTGTATTAAATATGCTAACAGCTCGGGATTCTGCAACAAAAATAGCACAATACCTAAAGCCTGAATGACTAATATGCAGCTCGCTGCAGCGCGTCGTGTCGAAAATGGAAAGCCATTGGCACTTAATGACAGTAAGCTGACAATTACCTCATAATGTACTGTAGCTGCGTTTATTATTTTAGCATCAGGTTAAAATCGCTGCAGTCATGTCAATTTGAAAAAGACGTGTTGTTTTTCTATTTTTAATCTGTTGCAAAGGAAAAAGGAAACAACTGGATATCTGGGTTTGCAAAGAGTCCTTGAGCGACACGTTGATTTATGTGTGTTATGTTGTGTATTAGCATATACAGTAGAAGGGGGGGAAAAAATGCTTTGAATCTTTAAACAGAAAACTATGGTGGTTATATATAAATATATAGTGAGTGACCCTGAATGTAGCTCCTACTCTTCATGTATTTACATATAAAATAGCTACACACATCACGGCTATGAAATGAGTCACACTCTAACATAATTACTAGAGTCTGATTTGCTCTCCAGCATCAGCGACTAAAACAGAAAAAGCTAAACTTCTATGAAACCTTTAAAAAAAACATGACTTAAGCACTAACAGCATGCAGTTGCTCATTTTCTCCCATAATCTCACACAACAAAAAGAAATCTTGGATGTGCTTTGGTCTGAAAACCCTTTTCCTCTCCACTGTTTCCTGCCATCGACACGTCCACCTTTGCCTTAACAAGGTTGCAGATATCTAAAGCCGCTGTTGACACACTGTGGCCCCCCGCTGACCGACTCACTGCCGCCGTGCTGCGGTGTAGTCGCCAGGCTCTTCAGTAGCCCCCATGTGCAGGAGGTGAGGCCGTCTTTGTGTTATTGCATCCTTTAAATATCATCAGAGAACAGAAGGAGACTTAAACCTCATTATTTGCAACTCGCCATCCAGGAGCAGCTGTTTGAGACTGAACCAGAAGAGTGCACCTTCGATTTGGAGAAAACAGAGAACCAGTTCAAATCTGCAGGAGGTGACTGTGGATCAGAGAACCAGGAGGACCTGGTGGAGGGAGACCTGGTGGAGGGAGACCTGGGCCTTGGCACCGTTCCAGCTCACATCAGGGAAGCCTGAAGCTCCAGGAGTCACCTCTAACCCCGTCTTATCAGCCCTTGTTGCCCCGACGCTAAGGCTCTGCCTCCCACGGTGAATCGGGTCACTGGTCAGGGCATCTGAAAGCAGCCAGCTGGGAGTCAGACTTAGTGTGGCTCCCAAAAGGTCACGCACCCCCCGTGTGCTGACATGCATACAGAGACACACTCACACAGGGAGAGAAAACAATTACAAAGGCCGGTGCTGTTTCTGCTGCTCCGCTGACGGTTTTCTTGGCTTGATTTGCTTTAAGAAATGTAATAGCTGACATTTTAAATATCTGTCTGACCCATGTGTACAAAGTGTACTTTCAACCCGACAACCAGAGCTATAATGGAACAGCTCTGGTTAAAATGCAATATGTTGAGCAGCAGCTTCATGCTACGTGGTTACGTAACAGCTTGGTTTCAAGCTTTAGGGAGAATTACTCACCAACGTATACTGTGATTGAATGCAACGGTCTTTCTCTTAATCAGCTGAAATGGTATTTATGTGCCAACTTTGCGTTGCTCCTCCCCAACCGCTTATTAAACTTTTATTGCACTGTTTCCTGCTACGCTCTTTTTAACTGAGTCAAATGTGTCCCACTGAATTTATTACCCCCCTCATCTCCCTTCACATCTTGCTTATCATTCTGCACCACGCCAGAATATTTCCAAATACTTAAGTGTATTAACAGCATTTGGAAAAGAGACTATTAGCATGTGGGTTCCCTCTGACTTCTTTAATTATAGATTGCACTTTGCTGCTCTCTGAGTGCATCATTATAAATCTCAGGGCCCCTTTTCCCTCGAGTGAAGCGGGGTGTTGTGTACGGCACAAACACAATCTGTGAAGGTTGGCCTTTGTGAATATGCAGACAGTTTGTCTGCTGTTAATAAAGCCATTGTCCTTGAAGTGAGAGCTTTCCATTTTATGTTGTGAATGCATGGGTGCATTTAGGGAATGCTTCTTGTTTGAATTTTCGGTTCCTGCAAAAAAAAAAAAAGACAATATATTGCCCTTATTTTTGCATTAATGTTTGAATGTTTTGTTCTGCGTAAATGGGACTGAATGCTAGCTACAGCCTTTCATCATGAGCCTTCAGATTCAGATGCTCAACCTGCAGTCCTCTTCTTAAAGGGACAGTTCACCCAAAAAAAAAAAAAGTAATTTATATTTCAAATACATTACTAGTTCTCATATGATTTGCTGATATTTAGAGCAACCACTAGTGTAATGAATCACCCGGGCACAAAGCAGCGCATTAGTCTGTGACGCTCAACAAATCAAAACATCCATCATCCGACATTTTAGATTCTCAACGTCTCTATTCACATCTGTGACCAGAAAACTTATTTTCAGTGTTTTCTTTGAGAACAGCTCGCTGAAGTCCGCCCACCAGGTACAGCATCTGTTCCGGTACGCGGGAGGAAAAAACTGCTCACAACGAGGTTTTACAACTTCCCTGTGTGACTGTTGAAAGACTCGCTGGTGCAGCCTGTTGAGCTTCTCAAGTGGCACTGTGTTGTTTTGGGGGGGTATGTTGAGCATCACAAACTAAATGCTGTTTGCTGCAGTGAGACGAATACTGTGAATGTCAGCAAATCTGCACCACACTGTGTTATTTAATGATGCAATAAACTCAATTTTATGTGTGTTTTTAGCTTTAAGATTTTGAGCTTTGTATTCGAGTCATTTCAAGGGTTGGATTGTATTTTTTGAAGTGAGATATGAGATACTTCTCTATAGTTTATCGCAATTAATTTATAGTAAATGATGGTCAGTAGGCCACCAGGTTAGAGAAGCAGACAGGAGTAGTGGCATGCAAGCAAAGCTGTAGATGCTGTAGATGGGCGCAACAGAAAAGCATTAATTAGTCACCTAAAAATTAATTTTAACCTTGCGCTGTATTTATAATATGACTCTATATTTACTCTCTTTAAAGCCAACAGAGCAGGAATGTCACCCACAGGTTTTGACATTCTAAAACACAAAAGTCACACAATCCCACAACCACTCTCATCAATCATTGTTCTAAAGAGAGCAATGCAACAACTTCAGTGCCTCGCCAGAGAACGGCTTATTTTTAGTTTCCTGAAAGACACTTTGCTGCTGACCCCGTCCATATCAGTACATTCATTAGCTTGCAAGCCGATACTCCTGTCTGCTTCTCTAAATTAGTGGTGTGCTAACCGTTATCTACCATAGATGATACACCGGCTACGGATTAGTGCTTCATATAAATCCTCTTTAAAAAGAAATGCAAATCAGCCCTTTAAAGTTATTGTGTTTCCCATTTTGGGTCTTTTCTCTGAGACATTCTTTAAGCTTGTATCGCCACAAACCTGAACTCAAAAGTGACCGAAATCATTATTCAGTGCCCCCGACTATTACGTATAACATTTTCAAAGTGTGTACTTAAAGGTCCCCTGCGGAGTTTTTAGCAGTTAGCAATGCCACGTAGCATCGTTTGTAGATTTGGGTTCCCATTTTGTTTATTTTTGTTCACATGGACAGGCATGCAGATGATGTAACGCACATTTCTGCCACCAATCTAACGGTGGCGCTCACGTCAGCGTGCTATCAAAGGTGGAGAAGAAGAAGAAGACTGCCAGGAAGTAAACGAGGCAGGTTTCAAACTGAAAAATTGAGTTTGCACTTGGATTTGTTTGGCCTTCGAGGATCAACACACTGCATTCTGCTCAGTAATACTGAATGTAAACAGAAACTTTGTTTACCAGGAAACTCCGCGGGGCACCTTTAAATTATGTAGCAAATAGCATCAAATGTATGACATCATTCCAGCACAGTGGTTCTCAAATGGAGGAGGAAGGCACGGGAACTAAGGTATGTGTTCAGATATAAAGATAATTGCAATTAAGAAATATTACCACCATTAAATGCTTTGTCGTTACAACACTGATTCTGGTTTTCAGGCAAGCGTTGCGTCCTGCACTGAGCTTTGAGAACCACTGCTCCGGTTCTGATCACGATTGCGTGCGGCGTTCAACACAGACGCATGAACTCATTAACTGTGAACTTTACTCAATGCAATATTCCCAGATCATGTGTTTTTATAAGAGCAAGCAATTGTAAACATTTGAAATGGTAGAACAGACTGCTCACACTTGACACTGAGAGAGACTTTTGCAGCTCCAGAGTTATGACATTGTCCACAGTGCATGATATCATCCTATGAGGACTCGGTGACAAAAAAGCAAGAAATCCCCTGTTTTTGTTGTTTTTTTTTTCTTTTTCTTCTTTTAAATCTAGAAATAGCACTACTGCTGTTCTGATGACACCTCTACCTATGACACATCAACAAACCAATTCATTGATTGTCTCTGACTTCATCCAGATCTTACAAATAAACATTAGTGTTGAGCTTTTTTTTTTTTTTTTTTTCCCTATCAGTCGTTTTTTTTGTTTCCTTTCATCCACTATTTTCACTTTTACAGACAGTATGGAGACTGAAAAAAATCATATTTTTTTTGTAAGATTTTGAACATTCAAAAATAACCCCAAAACATCCACTTTGAAGTGTCATCATAACAAGATACATGAATTATACAGTTGCTTTTTTTTTCTTCTTCTTCTTCTTCTCCTCATAGTTGCAGCTTCACTATTCAAGTCATTGTTCACAGGCCTCTTGCATTGTCAAACACATCCAGTGTTCCAGTATAAAAGAAGTGGTCCCTTCAAATACAACTCAACTGAGGGAAACATGATACATTCCAAAATGTGGCCAGTGGAGCTCCTTGAACACTGATTGAAAGTAAAGCTTTAAATTCCACAATAAGAGGAAACGGCACTCGATGCAAAAACTGAACATTAAATTAAAAGGTCTTTGGTGGTGAGGATGTTTTCACAGTTTGGAGTGTGTCAGCAGTGATTTGCTCAAGTCCTTGGCCTCCCCGGCTGTTCTCACTCTTTCGTACCCTAGAACAGACATGGCGTGGTGGCAGTAGTCTTCCACTTGTTTGATCTGTTGAATGCTGAGCACTGTTCTCCATGCACTAGCAGCTTGTGTGGCATTCCTGGAGGACACTATAAATGGCTTAGAGGAGGAACTGGAGCCGCTGGTCATGTTCAACGCAAACGACTCGATGTCGTGGTTGGTGGTGAGGTTGGCGAAGCGGTAGATGTTCCTCAGGGTCTTGACCGGGTTGTCCACCAGGTCCTCGTACCGTACGGCCATGTACTTCCCCTTCAGCCAGCTGGGTGGGTTTAAGGCAGTCCTCAAAGTCTTGGAGGTGCGGTCGCAGATCACCTCCATGGCTCCGATGGAGTGGTAGTCTGAGCCGTCCTTCTTGTTGGCTTTGTGACCAGGATCCACGAAAGGTATCCTGCGAAGTTTAGGGTCCCTGCTGCGGACCACCTGTAAATTCTCCCTTATCAGGCCGTGTCTGGATTTGATCCTGGAGTTGGCCACCGCCCGCGGGTCTCTGACCAAGTGTATCACCTTCAAATCCAAGGATGGATCCTCCATGAGAGGAGCCAGCACATTTACGTCCAAAATGCGCACCCCTTTAATGACTATGGTGTTATATTTGAGGCACTCCTCCTCCAACAGTCTAAGGCTTTGAGGGGGGCACTTTTTGCACACCTTATCGTCCACCATCCCCACCACCTCTTTCCTGTAGGCCGAGCAGAGGGGATAGGAGCACACCACTTTGTTGAGCGTGGCCCCAAATAGTCCTAGGGAGGTAAAATTCTTGCCCCCGGGGCTGTTGTAAAGTTGGAAAACAGACAGATCACAGCGGTACAAGGAGCTGAGCATGTCCCTGGCTGCCCCTTGTAAAGACACCGCATCACCGGGGTACAGTTTCTGCCAAATGTGCCACATGGGCTCGTACAAAAAGAACACTTCAGGATTTTGGTTAAAAAGCTCCCCGAAAAAGGACGAGCCTGACCTCCAGGTGGTCAGAACGTAGATAAGCTGTCTCTTTTTAGCCAGAGAGGGCCTGTACAGGAAGCGAATGTCAGATCTGCTCTGATAAGTGGTGCTCCTCATCTGATGGTTGCATTGCTGTGGCTCTTTAGTCCATTTATAATTAGCCAGGTTAAGCATAGTGAGGACCAGCAGCAAGAAATAGGCCATAAATAACACGATCCTCTTCCTGCGGAGCACTTTCATCACGATCCCAGGCTGTGCTATTATCTTGGTATGATTCCTGTAGGTTTTAAGCTTCCTCCCAAAGCCAGCATCCTTCTCCCAAGGCGCTGTCAACTTCAGTGGTGGATGATATTGTTTGCCTCTCATCTGTTCCCTCGGAGAGTGGCTCTCACCACCGGACAAAGCTCTTTACATTGACAATGCACCAACGCGCTCTGTAGTGTGTGTGTATAGGCTGGACTGGGAATTTATACCCAGTTGAATAAGAGCTGATTAGGTAATATATTCAGCACCAGTTCGAAAGCCACAACACGATTTCGCCTTTTCACTGCACTGCGCAATGTTCTTCATGGGAACGGTGGATGAGAGGAACGTTAAAGTTGTCCATGGCGAGCGTTGCGGTGATTCCGTGGGTGGCCCCCGTTCAAAACAAAAAGCAAGAAGCCTTCATCATTGTAACAGACGCCCTGTTTGTCCATGTTCAGCGGAGGCATCCCTGCGCAGTTATCATCTGAGGCATCCTTGTAAACGCAGCCTGGGAAGATCCAGGCATCGGCAGACGGGAGGAAAGCGGTCACGATTTTTTACGCGGCGCGGCTGGATCTTAACAACCCTTCCGCATCTGCCATAACGGAGCAGCGACTTGACCGTATCCGCAGCGTTAAAACATATCTCTCCCCCCCCTCCTTAGTTCTGCTTCCTCCGCTCGTCCAACTAATACAAACTGGTCCGATTCAATCAGAATACAACAAGAAAGACCCGCCTCCCCAAGGAGCGCATTGGCGCGCGTGGCGGCGTCGCGCGTCAGCGAGCTTCGCCATTGGACGCGCTGTCCGTCCGTCACTTTGCAACCTCAATAGCGGCTCCCACAGATCTCAGTAATGGTAGACTGTGGAAAATTATGCTGTTGTTATGTTTCAGAGAGATCTACCTCACTATCTGCATCCATGTAACCACGCTCCACCCTTCCGTGTAGGACACGAACCGGATGGAGGGATTTGCATGATTTTCTGGTTCAGAAAAGACACAACATCAGACATTCTCATTTTTATTTTAATATTGCTGTTTCTTTGAACCAATCGTTTTTAAGTTGTTATTGTATTATAAATAAGTCCTGTCTTTACTCCCACATTATGAGTGTTCTCTTCTCAGTGCACGACTGCAGGGAGGAATCAATATTTTAAATTAACTGTATTTGTTTTCCCCTCTGCTGCCTCAAGAGGGTAGCCCAGATCTATAAGAAGAAGGGGGGGAACCTAGCTCCATAGCATACAAAAAAAATCTATTATTATTTAGAGGGATATCATACACAGACTGAAAAAAAAACATCTAATCCAGTTAGATTACCTTTTTTTTTGGTCGTAAAATATTAATAAAACAAATAAATAATAAAGCAGGACTTTAGAACATTGAAATGATTTTTCATCGTAAGTATTGGAAACAGTCAGCAACAGATGACAGACTCTCCCCTCAAGTGGAATCAGCTGAAATGTGACGTTTGACAGCTGTTCCACCAGGAACTTGCAAGTCCTGGGAAGCTGTA